CAGGCAGGCACTCAATGTTATTTAATGCCTCTTCGGTTACTACATTCCCTCTAGAATATAAATCAGAGTAGTGTTGCACCCAGCATTCCATCTGCTGTACTCGGTCCTGGATGATCACGCCTGGAGCAGATTTCTTCTGTATTGGACCTAAAGCCTGCTTGATACCGTCATAAATTCCCTTGAAGTTACCTGTGTCTGCTGCTGTCTGTATCTGACAGCAGAGCTGAAGCCAATAATTGTTAGAACATCACCTGGCAGTCTGTTGAACTTTGCTACGAGCAATTTGAAGAACCTGAAAGTTCTTAATACTATATGCTTAGGTCTGGAACTGGATCGTACAATGGTTTGCCAGTGAAGGTTCTAGATCTTGTGGGGCTTTTAGATAAGATAATCAAAGTGAACATTCTCCTTCTCAACTCTATTCATCTCCTTCTGTCACGTTTTACATCTGGGAGGGAGGATAAGGTACATGGTAGCTATCATATGATCCACACTCCTTTCACTGCACAATCTCTCAGAACATAACTACACATTGCAACACACTGCTAGAAGATAGGATTTTTAAAAGTGCTGGAAACATCTAACGTACTTGGCCAGCAGTTTTCATCCCCCCCGCCCCCCGCCCAGGTTGTACATCAGCTTCCTTTTGCTTTGTGATTTATCACTGGAAGGTAATTACAAGCTTTGTTTGGAGGTATTGATAGCACAGTGATAAAGGTCTGCTTGCATGATGTTTTTGGGATACTAATGGACTTCTGCTTTTGAAGGAAAGCCTTCTATAATATACAGATTTGCCCCAAGAAAGCGCTGGTAATTAAACAGAAACAAGCAAAAGGAAGCAAGCAAGCAAGAGTCCAACAGTCTGCACTGCAAATTCCACTTCCATGATGGAGCTGTGCACCATATTCCCATTTCAAGGAACATGACTATGATACTGATTTTACCTTCTGATTACCAAAATTAGGCTTTTCTGCAAATGGATGTATTTCACATGTAATAAGAATCAGAAGTTGGATGTTACTTTTTTACTTTTAGTTATGCTTGCTAATGGATTCTGAGAATTGTAGCACAAAAAGTAACTTTTCCAAACTTTGCAAGAAAAGTATAAGTCGAATCTAACACCAGAAAAGAAAAGAAAAGAAAAAGAATTAATAGCTCTTTTGAACCGGGCTAAAGCAATACCAAACAGATACTGGTTGGCATAGGAACCAACATCAAAACACTTAACTTTTGTTCTATTCGAAAACATTATGCCTCATAGTTATGTAAAATATTTACCTTGAAGTATTATCTTTTTTTAAAAAGGAAAAATGAGTTCTGAAGAATCAGCTGAGTTTTAAAACACATTTTAGTAATGAATACAAATGTCTGTTTTGATGGGACTGATATCTTTAAAGTATGAGCCATTTTACCAGATGTTAAAAATACTTTCTGCCCCATTCTTGATAATACAGAAGATCCAGAAGCGTAGCAGTTGTACTTACAGGAGGCCCTATGAAAAGAAAACAGAGAAAAAGAAAGATGAATACATCTATAAGGTTATGAAAGTTGGACAATTATACAATATCCAAATATGGTCACTGCTGGTCATAACCATACATCTTATATTTGATGGCACTACTATCCATGAGATTCTCATTCCTCTCAAGAAATATAACGTTGTATCATTACTTTGTCAAGCTATTTCATAGTAATGGTGCAAAATATCTTGTATGCACATACTTCTTTCACAGTTATCTACCTAGTTTGTAACTAGACTTAAGATAATGCTCCAATCCCCCTTTTCTTTTCTTTTTCTTCACATTCAACTTAGCAGCAAAGCAGAACTGCCTATATTTTTGGCCTTCTGCTCTTCTTGAGGCAGGCAAGTGCAATTAATCACATAACTACACCAAACTTTCTTTTATCACTTCCTCCATTCAAGACCTACTTACGAAATGCTCCCTGTTAAAAAATGTCACTGCTTGTGAAGCACTATTGGCACATTTTTCCAATTATTTACAGTCAAAGGTTTTTGTACAACTGTTCTTGTGAATATTATCAAAGGTCTGCAAACCACATCTAATATTTCGTTAAGGCTTATTAAGAGGAGCAGCTGTAGTCATCAACTCAATGGCTTTTCATTAGCTTTTATGTTTCCCTTTTTCTTCTGACTCAAGCACATTGAAAAGGGGCAATATAACAACAGCAGCTGCCCTTGAAGTTTGCTTTAAATATAATTAGGTTTGTATTTTTAACAATGTGGTTTTATTGAGTAGTTAACTAAAGTAATTTCTTGATGCTGGTAAGTGGTCCTACAGAAAATACAGTATTAAGATAAAAAGCGTTTTTCTAACAGAAAGAAAATCTGTTTCCTTTTTAACAAATTTAACAAGTTTATATCATTTGCTGGCTACTAAAATACTGTTCTCCCTTTTGGAAGTTCTACCCAACAGATACAGATACATAAATGTGGCTCACCTGGAGAAAAGGATTCAACTGGAAGGTTTGAGGCTGAGCCTAGCACTTCTTAGCTTCCTGTTCAGAAAGAAAGCTTCCAGCTAGCACTAGGGCAGGAACATGAAGCTTGGGAGGAGCTAATCCTAGTTCAACCTCAAAGCCTTCCAATTGAGGTCTTTGTCCCAGGTGACCCACATTTACAGTAGCAATCAAAATTATTCAACCCCCATTGCAAATCAGGTTTATTGTCAAAATTTACAGACTTTCAGCTGTTTGCAATGGACAAATCAAACAAAAGCAAAATAGCTCAACACACCAAATGCTTCAATTGGTTTCTCTAAATTCAATTGAAAATGCAACTCTTAATGAATTCTACAGTCCAAAATTATTCAATCTCTTATATAGAATCCCTCACATGTGTCCAAACATGCAAAACAGGTGTTGTCTCAAGTATACATGATGCAACTAAACAAGGGCTTCATTAGTTGCACCAGGTGTGTTTCAGCTGGAACACATGAAATACCTGAACTGGCCAGGGGTTTGGTGAGTGTTATGTTTGACTGCATGTTAGAAATATGGCCAAATCAAAAGAATGGTCCAAGAAGTTAAGAGAAGACTTAATTGTCCTTCACAAGCAAGGAACAGGATACAAGAAGATAGGGAAGCACTGAATGTTCCTAGAGACACTGTTGGAAGCATAGTTTGCAAGTTCGAAGTTAAAAGAAACAGTGGCTACGATACCTGGACAAGGCAGAAAAAGGAAGCTATCAATGCCTACAGCCAAATTTCTGAGAAGGCAAGTCAAGAAAAACCCTTGAGTGACTGCAAAAACCCTGCAGCAAGACTTTGTGGCAACAGGCACTGAGGTTTCAATTTTCATAATAAGGCGCATACTAAACGCAAAAGGTTTCCATGCCGGAACTCCAAGACATACACCACTACTGACCCAAAAGCAAAAGAAAAGTCAGCTCCAATATATTCAAAATCATATAAATAAGCCACAGAAGTGTTGGGATTCTGTTCTGTGGAGCAGTGAAACAAAACTGTAACTTTTCAGCCCGATGGATCAATGGTATGTGTGGAGGAAGAAGAATGAAGCATACGTTCTGTCTACAGTTAAGACATGGTGGTGACTTGGTGATGCTCTGAGGCTGCTTTGCATCCTCTGTCAGTGGAAACCTGCAGTGTGGAAGGCAAGATGGATTCATTGAATTATCATGAAATCCTAGGATCAAATGTGATGCTGTCTATGAGGAAGCTGAAGCTTGGGCATTGTTGGACTTTTCAAAAGGACAATGATCCCAAGCATTCCTCAAGTTCCACGAAGGGTTCATTGCAGAAGAAGCCCTGGAAGATTCTACAGTGACCATCACAGTTTCCTGACTTGAATCCCATAGAAAATCTCTAGTGGGATTTGAAGAAGGCAGTTGCAGCACTCGAACCCAAGAATATTACTGAACTGCAGGCCATTGGTCATGAGGAATGGGCTAAGATTCCTCAGGAATGCTGCCAGAAGCTGGTATCTGCCTATGCATCTTGTTTGTGGTCATAACAGCAAAAGTGAGCTAAGATGCTTGCCATGAAGGGGTTGAATAATTCTGAGACTGCAGGATGCATTAAAAGTTGTATTTTCAGTTGAAGTTGGGGAAACCACTTGAAGCATTTGATGTGTTGAGCTATGCCAATTGCTTTTGTTTGATTTGTTCACTGCAAACAGCTAAAAGTCTGTAAATTTTGACAAGAAACCTTATTTGCAATGGTGGGGGTTAAATAATTTTGATTACAATTGTAGGTATCTGTCTGTCTGGAAAACTCCCAGAATGGAGAATTATGGTTGCAGTCCAAGAAATCTTTAAAAAAAATCCATCCCTAAATTATTTCCAGGTTCTGGTATCATGACAAATTGTGGTTAATCTGAACTGGAAGCAAAGGTTTTAAAACTTCTTCTTGCAGCCAGTCCTGAGCAAGAAGGCTACATGAATCCATGGCCTCCTAGGTGCTCCTCCACTTGATGCTAAACCATAGTGTATCATTTTATATAAAAGCTGCTTTAGCCAGTATCCAGCAGGGTAGTTCCTCAGATGAACTATCTGCACCATCAGAAATGGAAAAGGGAAGTTCTCCTCGCTCTACATCCCCCACCTCCAAGCTTGCTCCAAGAGTTGAGGACACCCTTTGCAGTTTTAAGTAGCATGGAGAGTTGTGTCGTAGAGGGAAGAGGAAGAAGGTTCCACCACACTCATAGCGAGGCACTAATGGGTTATGAGTTAATAAGTTACGAAGTGGCTTCATAGCAAGCATAGTACCATGATGTATAGAGGAGAATCCTTGGGGGGGGTGTTGACCTTTGTCAAAAGGAAAGGTGTGGGATGCAATCAAGCATTAAAATACCATGTGCAAATACTAACTCTTCATCAAAAGCTTGTGCAAATACGAAGTTTCTGAATTTGAATTTTTCTCACACACTGATGCTCTATTAAGTCAGAAATAGCCTGAGCAAAAGAGGATTTCTGCTTTCAGCTACTCTGAACTCTAGTCATTATGTTTTCCTCTACTTTTTCCCCTCCAAATTTCCCCACCCTCACTGAGCCCCTAGCGGTTACCTACAAACATAAGCATCAATAACTCAAACTACTGGCAAACATTCGTTCACAAAATGAACCAGGTGCTAAGGAAGTGCACAAAGAAATGAAAAGTTTTTACATCTGACTCAAAAAACTTACCAATCTCTCCTCTTCTTCCTCGCTTACCTCGTTTCCCAGGAGGACCTAAAGAGAAAAGAATTCCCAATTTGTAATTTTGCAGTTAAATCAAAAGTGACTAAGAACATCCATAGGTGGTGTATGGGAAGTCAAAAACATGATGACTCCACCAAAAGCCCTTTCACTTCTAATGGTTGTTCCAGATAACAATCTTCCCAAGACAAAACACTGTAAAGACATTTGCTATCTATTCTTTAGCAATATGGCTGAGCTGAGAAATGAACAATGGAAGAATATGCATATTTACTTGGAAATAAATCTCACTAAGTCCAAATGCACTGACTCCCAGGTCATTTGCCCATGACTGCAGTTTTACAGAATTATAATACCAATACTGATACTGTCCCGGAAATTTTGAATGTAATGACGTTTCTTTCAAATAATATTTCCAAAAAGGCACTGAGCACAGTAAAACATATGGCTGACAATAAACAACTTTTTTTCCCTGCAGGATTATGTTTTAAAGTAACCACATATAGAAAAACAGGAAGGACCGGATAAGAAAGACACAAAGTTAAAGGTCCCGGGAAATTAGACATTTCAGGAAAAAAGAACAGATACCTCTCTGTGTAGATTCAGATTGATTTAAAAAGATGTGTCGTTCTCCAAACTCAAGGACAAATAGATGCCTTGGTGTTGAAAGCATTTGCTTTGCATAAAAGCACACATGGAGGATGAACCCTCTTCTTTCTGCTTGACCTCTTTTTGAAGTGATGTGTATATGAAATTAGAACTCATAATAACACAGAATGAGAAATGTAAGATGATGCTGTATACAGACAATGCAAGGTCGACTATCAAACCCGGTATGATCTGTACTCCAGTCACAGCAGAACATCACAGATTTTGCATTCATGCTAACCTACTCTATCAGATACATTACATAAGGCTTGGGAAACAGCCTTGCATTTGCTTATAGAGGTCACTGTACTGAAATGAACAAAAGATAAAAGTAGGCATTCTGCATTGAAAACACTACTATTTATTACCTTCCTATGAATTTACTATGGTTATCAGTTTGCATAAGGGCCCTGATGGATTGGGACCTTTTTTTTAATCCAAAAGCTGCAAAATCTCACATGTTTTCTATCACATTTTCCTATTCATGCAGAACAATTTTAATGTGCAATGTTCTTTACCATGTATGGAGAAAAATACGTTGTGCTTCCCAGTCCAATACAAAATCCATTTTTTAAATAATGTCAGCAAGTTCTGTGCCAAATCTAAACTTTATCCACCCAAAAGCTCTTAAGAGAGACCCTCTTGTTTTAAATATCATTTTCAGTTTTCATATACCTAAAAAAGAATGTGACAGTTTCTCAGTGGAAAAAATGGTGTCATAAAGATTAATGACACCAAAAAACACAAAATAAGGAAAACCATCTTATAGTAAGTTAACTCAGTGGCTCCCTACAAAGTATTTAATATTTTAACAAGAATATCAACATCTGGTGCAGTTACCCTGCACCTGTACAGATATTATCTCAAATAGGTTATTCATGGAAACAGTTCATGTTCCACCATTTTCCTAGGAGGGACAACCCAGAACTGGAAAAGATTTTGAAGGAAGGAGTTATTTGATTGCTGGCCCTATGCTGGCATAGGCCAGGGGAAAATCAGCAGAAGCTGACAGCCTTCCCAAGACCACATCTGGATAATGGCTTATTGAGAAGGCCACAAGGTCTGAAGAACCAAAATGCCATGAATGAACTGATCCCCTCATTCCTGAATCACCAGGATCACTCCCTCTCTTCTAGACTCCAGGGAGAGAAGGAACAGTAGTTATAGGCAGGGCTGTAGGTGAGGCAGGAAACTGACAGGGGAATTAGTTAAAAATGCATCTCTTACCCTCTTCCTCAGGTGTGAATGAAGGGAACGCTTCTACCTGTAAAAAGTAAACTCCTGATCTAACCTACTTTAGTTAAACCTAAACTTAAATGTAACCAATAAAATGAGACTATATAAACTCCCAGCTTTAATTATTTGATTTGCGTACTTCTTTTAAGCTAGTTTCTTGATTAGAATGCAATGAACTTTCAGTCAAATCATCGGCATGAAAACTCATCCCACCAGCAAGTTCTTCGAGACCCAGAAGATCACTGGACTGAGTTATCAGCTGGAAGGAATGTTTGGAAGAGGATTTGCTGTTAACCATAAAAAATGCCTCAAACCAACCAACCAGTGATTCAGTGGGTCTATTCTAATCACCACTTATGATGCTTAGCAACAGGATTTTAGCTAATTAAAGTTGTAGAATCATTATTGGATGGATGATGAAAGCCAACTCTTATTGATATAGATCCTCATGGCACAGTACTGCAGTAATGCAGTCAGGACTCTGCTCACCACCTGAATTTGATCCCAGTGGGCTCAGGTAGCCATCTCAAGGTTGACACAACCTTCCATCCATCTGAGTACCCAGTTTGTGGGGAAGGGAGCAATGTGTAGCCTGCATAATTAAATTATAAACTGCCCAAAGAATGCTTTAAGCACTATGGGGGTCGTATATAAACACCACACTTTACTTTGCTTTAAAATCAGCTACCAGGCAGGCATTGCACCCAGTGGCAGACACAGAGAGGTAAAAGCTAACAATGGAAGACTCAAAGCAGCTAGATCAAATGCATACCCACCCTTCCACTAATGTTCCAACCCTCCCAGATTAAAAATCAAAAGAAGCTTTTCCAGACAATCTGCGACTCTTGAGGAAACAGTAAAGAAAGCCAGGTCTACAATGTGGAAAGAACTATCCAGATCTTAACACAGATGGAACCCCAGAAAAATCTAGTCCTCCTCTCCCTAAGAACATGGAATTTCTGCACTGATACATCTCTTTCTGAGTGCAGAGAAGAATAGGCTGGCAGTCTGTGCCCCTCAATATGTATCATGGAAGAGTTTATGTTAGATGTCCTAAATGCGCTTGATGTTGTACAGTATGTTCTTAGATGAAAATCATCTGATATATTTATTAATTCTAGTGTGGTGCTTCTAATATGAACAAAGAAGGAAGATCCAGTTGTCCTGGTTATCTGGACAACATACTACAACTGATTTACTTTTTTACTACAGTTAAAATAATTATTTAAAAAAACCCTCTCAAAATATAAACCAAAAATCAAAGAAGCAGAAACTAGAATATAGAAAATATCTGGATCACAGAAAGATAAAATAACCTAATAAAGAGATAAAGTAAATCAAATACATTTCAGCCACCCTAAAAGCAGAGATGAAGTGCTAATATTTAAATGATTTTAAAAGTATCAATATCCAATTTGGTACCGTTGATGGAGTGATTGACTAAGACTCAGGAGACCTGGGTTTGAATTCTTGTTCAGCCATTGTAACTCCTTTGTGGGGTGGCCTGGTAAAACCACTCCTTAAATATCTCAGTCGTCTGGAACTGCCCGTTAGTGTCACTATAAATTGGATGTGCCTTGACAGCAGATAACATACATAACAAAAGTGTTAGAATTGTGCTAAAAGCCCTGAGAATACAGAAAAGTATTCCACTGCTGTGGGAAAAACTTCAGCAAAGGTACCAGATGAGTTTTTTTGGAGGGAAGGTGTTCTGTGACAAAGGCCCTCTGCCCCTCCTCAAACTGTGGTGTAGTACATAAGAGTGTCAGATGCAGAATCAGAAGTTGTTGTTGTTGTTTAGTCGCTTAGTCATGTCTGACTCTTTGTGACCCCATGGACCAGAGGAGTGGTTCTTAACCTTGGGTAACCCAGGTGTACTTGGACTGCAATTCCCAGAAGCCTTCTCCACCAGCTATGCTGGTTGGGCTTCTAGGAATTGCAGCTCAAGAACACTGGGTTACCCAAGCTTAAGAACCACTGGACCAGAGCACGCCAGGCCCTGCTGTCTTCCACTGCCTCCCGGAGTTGTGTCAAATTCATGTTGGTTGCTTCGATAACATTGTCCAGCCATCTCGTCCTCTGTAGTCCCCCTCTCCTCTTGCCTTCACACTTTCCCAGAAATCAGAAGACTGAGGTTCATATCCCTGCTGGGCCTGGGAAACTAATGAGGTTGTGTGAGTGTGGGTGCGTGGCAAGCCTTCAAATGGAGGACCGTACTCCCATCCAAGATACACCGACCGAGAAATGCTTTTTCTTCCTGTACTTTTTTTCTCATTTATTTTACATCCAATAATTAGCGGTAACAGGCTGTACCTATCACTTCTCATTAAGTTATTGAATTCTACATTTTTGCCTTCTTTCTGCATTTCATGCGTTATATTTCTTAGTCTTTATTCATTCACCTTAGTATGTCTTCATTGGCATGTCTTAATCACCGTAATTCAGACCAACAAATAGGTCTCATATTAGCAATCTGTGATCTACGCATTTTAAAAGCTTTCACAAATCTAACTCTTTGGTGGAGGGAAAAATCTCTTCAATTGCAGCTTTTATATTTCCTCTAAACCAGCCAGCATACAACAGAGCAAGATCACATAGTCATCCTGGCAAACACAGAAATAGCTACTGTCACCTACTTGACTGACATGGCTAAAGGACAGCTGAAATAAGCAGCTAGAGTCATTCTATACGAGCATGGAATGAAAGCCTTCTCATAGTTTCAGTTTGCCATTCCATTGTATTACTACTCTGCCATAGCAAATGCCTTCCTTATCGAGACACAAAAACATGCTGTAAGAAGAGAACATAAACAGTTTCATTTACATTTCCATGAGCAACTACTTAATTGATTTGCATTGGTAATAAGGGATTTAAAGGCAAATTTGCTAAACGTCTTCAATAAAATTGCACTCAGACAATGTGACTTCAGATAAAGAAATAAATAAATTCAGGAGTTCTTTTGTGTTTTCCCTAAGACCATAGTTCCAAGCATAGGCATTTTGAAGCAAGCTCAATAAAATAAATTAGGCTTAATTTCAAGCAATTGTGTTTTGGATGCTATAGTAACTCTTCTAAGGCACAGCACGGTCTATATAAATGGGCTTGTTCTTTTTCTTTTTTTTTTTTTGCAGATTCCGTTGGGAACAGCA